CTGTGGGAAAAAACCTGAGAGGAGAGACATGTTGACAATTTGTAGTAGATCTGAGGCCATGAATTTAGACTCATTTTTGAAAAAACCTGTTGGCAGAATATCAAGGCAACATGAAGAGGATTTCAGATGTTGTATTATGTCCTCCAGGTTTTTTTGGTTAATAGAATCAAATTGTCTCATGCTATATGAATTGTTTTTAAGTGGACACAGGGACAAGACATATCCTGTACCTGATATGGAGGCACTGATTGCTTGTCTAATTGTTTGGATTTTGTCTGTGAAGGAGGCAAATTCATTTATCTTTTAAATTCCAGTCTCATGACAGATCATCTGTGTGCAATGTTGAATAACATTTTGCCTGTGCTGTATTCTTGATTATCCTAAACCCCAAACAAATTACAACATAAAACTGAATAAAAATTATTGGATTTTGTCCTTCAGACTGCTGTTCATTACTACTTCTGGACCTGACTTGCAACGCAGTATAGAATGTTTAAAATTCACCAAAACTTGAAAGATGATGCATTGTTTATTAAGTCATCTCAGAGTTTCTAATCCATTTGTACACTGCAGAAAGTTGCGAAAGGACATTCCATCCAAAATCCTAATCCAGCTGTGCCTGGCTCTGCTGATGCTAAACCTGGTCTTCCTGGTGGATGCGTGGCTGGCGCTCTACCCACAAGCCGTGGGCCTCTGCATCTCCACCGCCTGGTTCCTTCACTACTTCCTGCTGGTTACCTTCACCTGGATGGGACTTGAGGCCTTCCACATGTACCTGGCCCTCGTGAAAGTCTTCAATAGCTATATATCACGCTACATGGTGAAGTTCTCGCTGGTCGGCTGGGGTGTCCCAATGATTGTGGTCATTATTGTCATTGCAATTAACAAGGATAACTACGGTCTTGTCTCCTATGGAAAGTTTACTGATGGCACTAGTGATGACTTGTGAGTCTTCTGACACATTATCTGCATTGACATACACATTATTATTATTATTATTCTACTCAAACTAATCCACAAATACCAAGATATATGAAATAAAACCTGCACAAAACAAACTAACCATTTAATTCTCTCTATCCTCTCCCACAGCTGCTGGCTGAAAAATGACATTGCCTTCTATGTGGCAGTGGTGGCCTATTTCTGTGTAATTTTTCTGTTTAACTTCATCATGTTCATTGTGGTGTTGGTCCAGCTGTGTCGGATAAAGAGGCAGAACCCTCACAATTCGCATCACCGCACCACACTGCATGATGTGCGCAGTGTGGTGGGGATAACCTTCCTCCTGGGCCTCACTTGGGGCTTTGCCTTTTTTGCCTGGGGGCCCGTTAACCTGCCATTCATGTACCTCTTTGCCATCTTTAACTCCTTTCAAGGTGAGTTGACTCATTCGAGTCTAGTGTTCACGTGATAGGGCTCCACAGCAATAACAGGACAATTTGAGGGTCTTTTATTTGTACGCACTAAAAATCACTGCATTTGCGTCAGTACACTGTAGCACCAAAACAACACTGAGTCAACTTTAAACATGGATAGAAACCCATCAAAGAAGAGGGAATGTTTTGACACAGTGTTTGTCTGTTATAATCTACTCTGGCTCTTAATAAACTTACATGTAACTATTTATTACTGATTGTTAATAATATGCAGTTTTGAATGTCATTTACACATCCTTTTGTACAACTAACAATACTTTGTGACAGTATTAAGGTAAAACTTCAGCTTGTTATGTCCAAGAGTTGGTCAAACTCGTCATATTTTAGTTTACAAAGAAAAAGAGGTTCAAATAGATTCATTGGTAGTTAAACCAGTATAGGTCATTGGTCATATTACCATTTTATTTAACAAATGAATTGCTGAATCTGGGAACATTGCTACAATGAAGTCGCACAGATCACAAGGGTTACAAGCATATTAACATTTTAGCTGGATCAGCTAAAACCACCGGATTTGAAGACAAAACTGAAAGTAATGACACAAGAGACAAATATCAGTAGTAACCCCTCATTGCATTAGATGTGTGAGTGCACAACTTCAGTAAGTACAGTAGGTCAAACTGTAAATGTTTACAGCAGACAGTTTCAGTAGTAATTTCAGTTTGTCTTCATTTTGTCTTCCAAATAAATTGCACTACTTTTTACCAGCATCATCCCATTCACTAATCTCGACATATTTGTAATTGTATAGTTTGTAATTTCGATATGGTTACATTTAAGTGCTTTTTTATTTGTCTGTGTCCTTCACCAAACTGAAGACACTGTACCCCACACTGTAAAAGGTTTGCTGTCTCATCAAAAATGCTGTTTCTGTGTTCCAGGTCTCTTTATATTTGTGTTCCACTGTGCGTTGAAAGAAAATGTGAGGAGGCAGTGGAGGACCTACCTGTGCTGCGGCAGACTGAGACTAGCAGAGAACTCAGGTTACAGATGTTCACTTTCCATTTCATAACTCTACCATCATGCTTATTAAACTGCTTATTAAACTGTATAGTATACTGTGGTAAAATATATATTTCAGTAGGAGAAATTCCCTTTACACTTTAACTATAATATAGACTATGTGTAACATTGAAGTTTCTATTTCATGTCCCCTTTAGTTAAGAGTAGACTAATTTTGGTTTCTACCTGCGGTTGTGTTGCAGAGGGACAGTTGTGAGTGTAACATATGTAGAGTAATGTGCAACAACAGGATGGAGCACTGCTTTGAACCCCAGCACAGTCAAGATGGCTGTTGACTGTCTTGCTGTGTTGGTGTTAAATTAAAGTTTATTACCCACAGGCCAGAGGGACAGGAGAATACTACAAACAGGGTTAAAATGGTACACATGAAACACTTCAGCTTTATCTTGTGGAATTTCTTTTCACAGAATGGAGTCGCACTGCAACACAAAAGACTGTGAAGAAGTCGTCAGAGACCAGACAAACACCTCTTCATTCCGAAAACTCCATCAACTCAAGCAGCTCCTCTGCTTTCCTTGTCCGTGACTCTTCACAGCAGATTAATGGCATTGGTAAGTGAAGGCGGTTGTGAATGTGGGAGTCACAGCCACCTCATTGTGAGTTATGTCACTCGTGACACATTTTTGACAATTAGACTACTGATTAATTCACTAAATATAAGCTTTAGATACGTCTATGTGTCTAATTCTACCTTAGTTTAACATGCGTTTGGACTGACGTGTGATGAGTGCTCACTGGTTAAAAATTGTAAATGAGGCAGTCAGTGGCAATATGTTATCATATAAATCTATATTAATATATTATATTACCACATACTGTACGAGTTATTAAAAAAAATAATTGTGACACATTCAGTACAATTTTTTTCTTCTTTTAATAGATTTAAAGAAATTAAGTAAAATTTACAGACCTGTCATACAGTCTATATACAGTCGCAGGAAAATGTATGTGAAGCCTTTGGAATTACCTGCATAAATTGGTCATAAAATTTGATCTGATTTTCATCTAAGTCACGTCTAACTCCACCAAACAATTATATCTTTCCATGTTTTTATTAAACACACCGTGGAAACAGTCACAGTGCAGGGTGGTAAAAGTATGTGAACCCTTGGATTCAATAACTGGTTGACCCTCCTTGGCAGCAATAACCTCAACCAAACGTTTCCTGTAGCTCCAGATCAGACCTGAACAACGGTCAGGAGGAATTTTGGACTATTCCTCTTTACAAGTCTGTTTCAGTTCAGCAATATTCTTGGGATGTCTGGTGTGAATGGCTCTCTTGAAGTCATGCTACAGCATTTCAGTCGAGTTGAAGTCAGGACTCTGACTGGGCCACTCTAGAAGGTGTATTTTCTTCTGCTTAAGCCATTCTGTTGTTGATTTACTTGTGTGCTTTGGGTCGTTGTCCTGTTGCATCACCCATCTCCTGCAAAATGTCTTGATAAACTTTGGAATACATTTTTCAGGGCAGGGCAGTTCTAACCAACACCTCCAATCTCGTCTCATTGATTGGACTTCAGGTTGGCTGACTTCTGACTCCAATTAGCTTTTGGAGAAGTCATTAGTCTAGGGGTTCACATACTTTATCCACCCTGCACAGTGACGGTTTACCCAGTGTGTTCAATAAAAACATGAAAACATTTAATTGTTTGTGTGGAGTTAGTTTTAAGCAGACTGTGTTTGTCTATTGTTGTGACTTAGATGAAAATCAGATCAAATTTCATAACCAATTTATGCAGAAATCCAGTTAATTCACATTCTTTCCTGTGACTGTATGTATACATATAAAGAAACAAATGGTTTCAGATGCACTACATTTGTGGTCAATTTAATGATTTTGCAAAAGGAATTTTGCCACAAATTTGATGCATTAGAAATAATGCAGTAGTGCTGTGTTACAGGAAGCCCATTTGCAGACAGAGTAATCACAGCTGATGAAGAACCCAGTACGGACATAGTCCTCAACGAGATCAACAGGCAGTACCGAACCCAAGGGCCCTGATCCAACAAGCACAGAACAGACTGTTTAATGGCTCTTCTTTTGAAATGTATGTATATAATGTATATCAATAGAGTAATTTATGTACTGTTCATCTACATGTCACATGTTTTATGACTAATGGGCAATGGAAAGCCCACATTATACATGGCACTTTTTTTTTTTTTTTTTTTTTTTTACACACTTCTACATTTATTCTTCTATTAGTGTATTTGCACAAGGAACCTGAACAACCTTCATTCTGTTGGACAGTGACGTGATCAATATAAGTAATTGTTAATTGTAAACTGCATACATTGAATACATTTAGTTTTCTATTATGAGACAAGTTAAAGCTGGAAACCGTCACATTTTAGAAGGTGGAACCAGTAAATATATCTGCTGGCTATTTTTGCTTGAAAATGACTTATCAAAATCATTGCCACTTTTCTGTTGATCAACTTAGCGTTTCAGTCGCACTAATAAGTATATAAATATACACAAGATGTCCTTGATTAATAATAAATTGCTTTTCTTTTGGAGAATAAAAAAAAGCCAAGACGTTTTCCCCCAAAACAATTTAATTGTAGATAGTCACAAAAATGATCTAAAGTGGAACAGAACAGCATTTGGTGAAATTATATTGAATAAATAAATGTAACTCAGTCCCACAGGGTTGATCACGCGTAAATGTTCTGTGTACTGTGTATGCAAGCTACATTCACCGTCCTTTACATGCACCTAATACAGTCTTAAAAAAACTTTAAATATTTCAGGAGAAATCAAAAGGTGCTAATAAAACATGACATAAACAGCACAAGTACAGAGGTGGCATTAAAGTGTTGGAATCATTTCCCTTTTAAAACACATTTGGACTCAGTACTTCAGTCTCACTGGGCATGCTCAAATTGTCATGATACAGCCTGAAAGAATCAAATCACATTTAAGAGGCAGTAACAAAAATAGAGCCAAAAAGAAACTGAATTCAGCTGTGCTGAGCCTATAGATTGCCCTATTACGCGATTTGAGCTCATAAAGAAAAAAAACCCAAAGTAAACAAGAGAACACACGCCTGTTGAAAGAGGAGTTACACCACGTTATCAGTGTATGAAATCACTGTTTAAACATCTAACAGTTCCTTCAGAGCACATGCAAATGGACATTCCAAATCAAGTAACACATGTGAAATACAACTAATAAGTTGTAGCAAATAATGGTAAAACAACTAAAAGGAGGAAGAGAAGGAAGATTAGAGAGCTAAAACGGTCATTGTGCCACTACGGATGTGTTCAGACTGAATGCAAAGTCAATTTTCATCTGGATTTATTCACACTAACTTGACAATGGGGGAATTTTAAAGTCCATGCTTGTAAACAAAAATACAGCCAATTACAGTACAGATTTTAGCTGTAGCTCACTATTAACAGGCATAAACTGCCCTTACATTGCAGGAACATTGCAGTTATGTTATATTTCTCCAGATTCACTCCTTTTTCCACACTTTGAGTTGCCTATAATTTTCATGTCACAGTCAGTCTGAACACACCTTTTAGGCCACCGCAGAAACGGGAGGAACATTCACATTCCAGCTGCTGGGGATTTAAGCAGAGAAAACTGCAGGTCTTTACTTCTTCCACACGGTGTAGAAAACCCATCTGACACAATACAATTAAGGATCATTCACAACAAAATATGACAGCATTTACAGCATTGCTTTGTTCCCATTCATTAATGTAGGAACAACTTCAATTCAAATTCAAGTTTATACCAACTTGGTCTTATTTTTGGTTACGATAACATTGTGGTCAAATTAACTACTGAAATGAGAACATGGTTACATTGCTACAACACAGCTTGACAGGGACCTTTCAGATGATTAGGCAGGTTGTAGAAAAGCCATCAGATCACAGCAATTAACTTGGTGAGGGCCAACAGAAATACGGGCCAGAAATAAACAGTAAAATATATATTTTTAAAAATGTGAATTAATATAGTTCAAAATAGTGTATGGGATAGAAAAAACACATTTTTGTAAATTAATTCTGTCGGTGACTTGTTTGTTGACCCGCATTACAACATAGCATATCAACATTAGATCTTATTAAAGGATACTGCTCCAAGTAGGAGGGCACACACACAACCTTTTTGGAGAACTCCACAGGACACGAGAGCTTTCCCAGCAGTTCCTCATACTGACTCAGTGCCTCTGTCAGATTCACGCTGTTACCCTGGTTAGCAGTAGCAGGGGGAAAAAAAGTCATCAGACCCATACTGTAAGTGGTGTGTTCTAATGCTTAGCCATAATAAAATGAAACCTAACTCATCCCCTTGTTAGCTGATCTCCCATACTACAAAATATTCCTCTTTGACAATATAAAACTAAATTGTATATTAAAATATAGTAGCAATGATCGGGGTCCAAGCAGATTGCGAAAAATGCTTAATTTGACTGTTGTGTAGCAGACGACTTGTAGGAGTTCAGAAATTCTTTGATAACTTTACATTAGCAAAGTCTGTAGATGATCGTGCCAATGTTTCGGGATAACTGGCCCTATGTTTTGACCAAGATTTTGAGAAAGCTGCAAAATTTGACAAGACCACTGGAGCAAAGATGCAGATAAATTGAAAGATGAAAATGAGCACTGAATTTTGATTTACAGCACCACCTTGAGGTCAATGAATATCATTGTATGTGGGTAGTAGGTGGAATTTGCAACCCACCTGCTAAGTTTGGCAACTTTCGGTCTTACAGTTTTTGCTGCACAAACAGTTTTAGGAGGAGGAGAAGAAGAAAAAGGAGAAGGCTCCAGCTTATTCCCTGATTGGACCCCTAAATTTGGATCATAAAGCTTAGATCTAAGAACAGTGTCATCCCTCCCTTCAAATAACACTGCTATTTTCTGCCTGATCAAACTGGTTTAACAGTGCTGCATTCTCTCCTAGGCTGCGGTTGGCCGTCCCACAAATGCGGCAGCAACATTTAAAGCCACGCACATTCTCAAACTCTAACCTTGCAATTTTTTTTCTTTGTTGGAATCATTTATGATACTTGCTGTAATCTAATGCTGTTTCAGCACCATTTTATGTTTCAGATTGTTGAAATATGCCATAAAGTGTTGTATTAGAATGTTATACAATAAAAAAAATGATCACCAACTATGTAAGTTACCATTGGCTATTAAGCCTTTTCTCTCCAGTTATGCCATAATTTGCTAATATGCATATGTCTTGAACTATCAACAATTACTGAGACCTATATGCAAGGTATGTTAGTCTTGTAAAATGATGAAGTGAGGATATTGTTGCAGCATGTAGGCTAACGTTATGCATTAGTTATTTTTCGCCAATGCATTCTCAGCCTAATGTCATTAATTTTACTTCAGTCACATATGCTGACACCCTCCCCTTAATAAAGACAAGGATCAAGCTGTATAACCTCTACAGTAAATGTAATGTATAATTTTATACAATAATTGGGATTCATGTTGATAAGTACGGGTGAGCAGGAGTGTAAGCAAGCTTTCTCAATGTAAAAACCCTTTCCATTATTTGGTGACTGTTACCCTATAGGCCTTTTTGCTTACTTGATTATTTATTAATAAATTTCAGTATGTTGTCAACCTTTAGATGGCCTGCATTAAAACAACACTAGGCAGTGTCAAAGATGCACTTTTTGTAGTCCATCTTCTGAACATAGTAGTTTCATCATGGCAGATAAATGTAAATGGGGCGGCTGTGGCTCAGGAGATAGAGCGGGTTGGCCGTTAATCAGGTTCAATCCCTGGCTCCCCCTGGTTGCGTGTCGAAGTGTCCTTGGGCAAGATACTGAACCCCGAATTGCCCCTGGCGGCTATTCCGCCAGTGTATGAGTGAGAGTGAATGTTAGTTTCCGTTTGAGCACTTAGGCTCAGTGTATGAATGTGTGTGACTGGTGAATGCAGATGTAGTGTAAAAGCGCTTTGAGTGGTCGAAAAGACTAGAAAGGTGCTATACAAATACAGAGCATTTACATTTACATCATGGCAGGTCACGTCAGTAACATTAGGTGGGGCAAAAAAATAAAATTTCTGGCAAGTCTGATGCCTATTTTCTGTCTACACTAAACACACCCAGCAGTTACTAAAAGTACGACTCACCTGTGTGAGATATTTCCCAGAGGGATGCAGGACTTTTATGGACAGATCCAAAATGAGACGCAGGAACTCCCATGTAGAGTCTACAATAAGCAGTTAGACAGGTTTAGACATAAAAAATGAATTCCCGGCATTGCATTTATTCCACACCATACATCTATACCTATACACAGTAATGTCGGTGTGTGTAACAAAAATAAATACAGAAACCTTCTTCTGGCTCCGTGGATATTGGGATTGCAGTGAGGTCATTAATAACGTAATCAAACGTCTTTCCTTCCTGGACATACTTCTTCAGCACAGGGACGCAGTCCTCAACTAGTATCTGTAATGCATGAGACGAGAGAATCCACTAAATTTTCCTCTTAAGTTCCTTTCATTTGGAAAATATGGTTCATACATGATGTGTCTGTGAAGACTCATCCAGGTCATAGTTATTTAAGGTGGGTTAAAAAAAGTCAAGGGCCAATGGACTGTGTTGAAGATACTTGAGGACATTTTACCAAGAAGCTTCTTCAATTCTAACAGACTGGCAGGGAATCCCTATTTAACCTCTGAGGGGTTGTTATTAAGGTGATGGTTAACACCTGATTTGTTAGTGCTCCAGGCTGTTGTAACCACAGTCATTATGGTCGTTGGAGTCACCTGAGGCTGAAGTCAGAAGACTCCAACGACTATAATGAGTGTTGACCCCACAGAGGTTAAAGAGCTGGAATTCCCTGCTAGTTGGTCAGAACTGAAGAATCCTCTGAGATGACAGGCGAAGACAAAGTCTAGTTGCCAGTTTACCCCACCTTGGATTTATACACTGCTCAAAAAAAATAAAGGGAACACTAAAATAACACATCCTAGAACTGAATGAATCAAATAATCTCATTAAATACTCTTTACATAGTTGAATGTGCTGACAACAATCACACAAAAATTATCAATGGAAATCAAATTTATCAACCCATGGAGGTCTGGATTTGGAGTCACACTCAAAATCAAAGTGGAAAACCACACTACAGGCCGATCCAACTTTGATGTAATGTCCTTAAAACAAGTCAAAATGAGGCTCAGTAGTGTGTGTGGCCTCCACGTGCCTGTATGACCTCCCTACAATGCCTGGACTTGTTCCTGATGAGGTGGCGGATGATCTCCTAAGGGATCTCCTCCCAGACCTGGACTAAAGCATCCGCCAACTCCTGGACAGTCTGTGGTACAACGTGGCGTTGGTGGATGGAGCGAGACATGATGTCCCAGATGTGCCCAATTGGATTCAGGTCTGGGGAACGGGCGGGCCGGTCCATAGCATCAATGCCTTCCTCTTGCAGGAACTGCTGACACACTCCAGCCACATGAGGTCTAGCATTGTCTTGCATTAGGAGGAACCCAGGGCCAACCGCACCAGCATATGGTCTCACAAGGGGTCTGAGGATCTCATCTCGGTACCTAATGGCAGTCAGGCTACCGCTGGCGAGCACATGGAGGGCTGTGCGGCCCCTAAAGAAATGCCACCCCACACCATTACTGACCCACCGCCAAACGGGTCATGCTGGAGGATGTTGCAGGCAGCAGAACGTTCTCCACGGCGTCTCCAGACTCTGTCACGTCTGTCACATGTGCTCAGTGTGAACCTGCTTTCTTCTGTGAAGAGCACAGGGTGCCAGTGGCAAATTTGCCAATCTTGGTGTTCTCTGGCAAATGCCAAACGTCCTGCACGGTGTTGGGCTGTAAGCACAACCCCCACCTGTGGACGTCGGGCCCTCATACCACCCTCATGGAGTCTGTTTCTGACCATGTGAGCAGACACATGCACATTTGTGGCCTGCTGGAGGTCATTTTGCAGGGCTCTGGCAGTGCTCCTCCTGCTCCTCCTTGCACAAAGGCGGAGGTAGCGGTCCTGCTTCTGGGTTGTTGCCCTCCTATGGCCTCCTCCACGTCTCCTGATGTACTGGCCTGTCTCCTGGTAGCGCCTCCATGCTCTGGACACTACGCTGACAGACACAGCAAACCTTCTTGCCACAGCTCGCATTGATGTGCCATCCTGGATGAGCTGCACTACCTGAGCCACTTGTGTGGGTTGTAGACTCCGTCTCATGCTACCATTAGAGTGAAAGCACCGCCAGCATTTAAAAGTGACCAAAACATCAGCCAGGAAGCACAGGAACTGAGAAGTGGTCTGTGGTCACCACCTGTAGAACCACTCCTTTATTGGGGGTGTCTTGCTAATTGCCTATAATTTCCACCTGTTGTCTATTCCATTTGCACAACAGCATGTGAAATTGATTGTCAATCAGTGTTGCTTCCTAAGTGGACAGTTTGATTTCACAGGAGTGTGATTGACTTGGAGTTACATTGTGTTGTTTAAGTGTTCCCTTTATTTTTTTGAGCAGTGTACATAACACAGTTAGGTTCTTGTCTCAAATTCTGCTCCCATGATTATTAATGCAACATTTCAATCAGACTGTATCACTACTTAATCTCTCCTCTGTCCTTGTTAAGTAAGAATCACCACTGTTAGAATATTTAGTCAGCACTCACTTGGTAACAGTCTCCCTTCAGGTTGTCAAGAATATTGCCGCAAGTTTCTCTCATGTGCATTTTGCAACCATCTATCACCTTCTGGTCTATGTGCACACTTTGTTAAGGAATGATCAGTCAGGTGTAAATGTACAATTGGACCACCACCCCTTCAGAGGATCACAATGTAGTTAGAGAGTAGTAGAGTTAAAGTCTATGGGCTTTATTGTGTAACTGAATCCTCTACGACAAAGTGTCTTAAGATGAAGCTATATTAAGTATATTTGATGATTGTCAAATTAATCCATCCACCCAATAAAGGATATCTCCAACATGGTGATCATCTTTGGCTTTAGTTTGACCACCTCGGACAGGATGCCTCCATCACCTCCTCCTAATATCAGTACCTCTTTTCCGTCATAATTCTCTTTTCCATCACCAATGATGGCTTGGGTGTAGGCCAAATCACTCTCTGCCATGTCTGCAAAAAATAAAAAATTAAAAAATTAAAAAAAAAAGAATAAAGTGTGAGCACATTACTCCAGTTTTAGCCTCACTACACTGGCTTCCTGTCCACTTTAGGATTGATTTTAAGATTTAATTGCTTGTTTTTAAAATTTCAAATGGGTTGGCACCTTCTTATTTATCAGAACTTTTACATGTCCACACTCCTGTTACAGCACTGAGGTCATCCAATCAGATGCTCCTTGATGTCCCCAGATCCAGGTTAAAAACTAGCCTTTTCAGTAGCTGCTCCTAATCTTTGCAATACTTTACCTGTTGAAATAAGAATTGCTCGGACTGCTGACATTTTCAAGTCCTTGCTTAAGGCCCACCCCTACTCAGTGGCCTTCAAACAGAGTTGGGTATTGACATTTTTGACCTTTTCTACTATTTTTGTTGTGTATATTTGTTGTTTATCCTGAACCTGGAAAGCACTTTGGTCAACTAGGGTTGTTTTTAAATGTGCTATATAAATAAACTTCAACTTGAACTTGCAAGGTAAATCAATCATTTACACACTTAAATAATTAACCAATTGTTATAAATAATAAAAACAAACAATAATCACCATCAAATTAACTTATGCATGTTTGATGTGGTCACTACATCAAGTGTAATGTAGTAACTAGATTCTAGTGCATTACATTACATTTTTATGTCAGATTAACATACTTGTTAACAAAAAACATTATTTATTTGCCATCAATTGATGGAGCCTGATCCTGGGGCAGAAAATGACAAACATGCCCTGTATTGGAGTGTTGTATACACTTACTAACGTCTCCATTGAGAACTAGGATATTTCCATACTGCTGGGAGTGCAATATTTTTATGTTTTGGTATTCAGAATCTTCTTCGTACACCACCCGGTCAATGTCATACTCAATCAGTCTGCCATCAGCTGTGGGCCAGTATCGGTCAACTTCTGCTCCTCGTACGAGGGCTGGTAGCCTTGGGGTGGACAATACAATGAATCAATATTACTGCAATGTGCTAGCTGCATCAAATATGGCAGTCGACTTTCAGCAACATGAGCAAAGCCATGAACCTCCAGATACTTACCTTTTAATCCTTGTAATATTGCCATTTAAGAGAACCTTAAGCTTCTTTTCCAGTGCATTTAAAAGCTGTGGAGAAACAAGTGTGAGACACCATCAAAGCTTAGGTGCACAACAATTTTCATCAAAAAGTGACATGCGTTATAGTGCTACATAGACAGCACTCTTAACGCCAAAACACATAGGCAGTGAACAATGCAGCAGGCATACGGTTTCACTGTGCCCTGCATGTATCTACTAGGGTTGTCAAAAATATAGATTTTGATACATATTGATTATGCATATTTGAAATGGCTTCAATATTAATTTCCCACACTATCGATAAACTGGTACCCAGGGGCATGGGACTAGGGAGAAAAAGGGGACTGAGTGTGCAGGGCCCTCATGTTGACACACACACACACTTCTTTAGTGCCCACATAGCTCCGCATCCTCTCATTCATTCACAGCGCTGTCTCTTGTTTACTACAGTCATTCTGCTGTTCTCTGCTACTAGCTTAGAAAAGAAACATCTAAAATTAAATTTTAAAACAAAAAATTTAAAGCTTATATATCTACAGGTGCTCTAAAGCAATTAGTGGCACAGTTATGGAAAAGTACATGTTTGGAGGCAAACAAACATGTGCAGGCATGATGAACATAATGATGGACACTATTTGATGTGTCTGTCACATATCCCAAAGCTATTTAACAAAAGAAAAGTTATACACTGTTTTACTATCATCATGTCCTTGCAATATGTTTGATGATTTTTATGGTTTATGGTGTATACGGTGTATATAGTAGCTAACAAGTTGTATTCTATGTATTCTTCCTGTGTATTTTGGCTTTTAGGTAACAAATAGAAGTATTGTGGGTTGTTTTTTTAATCACCTACATTGTCTAGTTGTGCAAGGTTATCCTCTTCATAACACTGCAGATCAATGGTGACCAACCCATGGGAGTGCACACGCAGAATAACAAGCCTGAGAAATTAAGTGCAAAAGAGAAAGAGATGGACACAAAGCAATTAAGTGAGTAAAACATTTTATTTCACTAAATTGATGCTCAAAATCAAAATTTTCAAAAATTCCCAACCTTGAAAGGTGGCTTGAAAGGAGGCTATAAAACAGTAATGGGAAAAAATACGCTTGAGAACGCTGGGTAGGGCAACTGGGGAACAGACTGGCACGTACAACGCAAGATGATTGGTCTGACTTCTGACAGACGTGGTGGTATTGGTCAGGCCAGAAGGCGTTTCCCAGAGCGAAACCGGGGTAACCCCAAAAATCAAAGGTTTTGCTGTTTCCTCTTTTCCTTAGAAGTTTTCACAGTGGAAAGCATCAATAAATCCACTAAACCATTCTTGCAGCATAATCAACCGCTCTGCTTATCATTAATGTGCTATGTTTATACAAAGTAGTCTTATTTTCACATAAATACAGCTAATTTCATTGCTTCTGCAATATATTACCAAACCTTCTGCAGAATGCTGCAGAAACAGTGCATTTAGTTGTTTGTAATGTCCTGCGCATTCAAAGGGCCTGCATATTACCAGGGGCTTCTCTCCTGTCAAAACCTGTCTGCATTGGAATCCAAACCGGCCTGAATTCAAAACTACAAACTTTCAAGTGCTTTCAACATGAGACAGTTTATCGACAGCAAAGGGGACAACCCTCCTCTTAGCTTTGAGTTCTCTTTGTTCCTTACTAAAAGTTGCTCTTACCAGCTTTGTGAATAGCTGTCTCTTAATAAGGAACTTTTAGTGCAATTTAGGAGGACTTTCAGCGGTAAAATAAGATTAATTGTGAATGTGGCCCCTGTGCTCCCATAAGTATGACACTCTACCGTGAACTGTATGACACATTTGTGTACCGGTACAGCTCTGCCAGCCTTAGCCTTAGTTACTCACTGCACAATAGCAAACACAACTGCAACCAAACACAGTTTTCAAATATACGCAGATTTTCAGCTGGAGGTAGGGCTGCTCCATTATGGCCAAAATGATAATCACGATTATTTTAATCTATATTGAGATCACGATTATTGAATGATTTTAGGGACAACATATTTTTATTGCACTTTCAAATTTAAATAAACAGGCAATTGTTTTCACATCTATGATGTGCTGCATTTCTGCATGTACAAATCTTTGCATCAGAATAAGACTGGTCCTTAAAGTGCATCATCTACTAGAAGCAAAATATAAATAACATTTACCAGGAAAGTCCAACTGCTGCTTCACCACGGTTTCGTCCCGTCCTCTGTACGCATTTCAGCAGCTGAGAACATTGTTGGCTTGTTATTATTTTGTCCTTTTTGTGCTTCTACCTATGGCTTACCAGAAACAGCTCTCTGCGACCCAGTTCTGTTTGGTTGTCTGCACAGCTGCATATGCCACAGGGAGCATTTCAGAATCAGAGCCTTTTACCTTCCTGATTTTGCAGACATGTTTAGATTTTGTGTATTTGGTAATCAGTACTTATTTTTTGTGCTTCTGTAGATAAATGGTTATTTTCTGTCTGTTTTATCTCAATTTTTTGTTGATTTATGATCAGGAGTATGTACAGGGGGGTTTATTTTGAAAATTGACCGGATTCTCTATACCATTCTGTGTCGGACAGATGCGGACAGTTTACTCTGGACTGTAGCACCAGGAGGGTGGGCGCGCAGCCAAATCACCCCCTTTTGCTGTAAGTTTAGGAAGCACTTGATTTGACTATATTGACTTGAGTTTTCCATGAGCAGAGCATGCATTTTAAACGATATCGCCATCAATCATGTTATTTTAACTGTGGGAAGCTAAAATTGTAATCGCGATCAATATTTGATTAATTGTGCAGCCCTAGCTGGAAGCATCCTAAAAATAAGCCAAGACATTTGTGGTTAATTCAAATCACACAACTCAAACATTTGATCCACAACTTTCTCTCTACAAACGACAATGCAGGGTTGAAACTATATAAGGAAGAAACATTGAGTATGTTTAACATCACGGTTTTAAGTCTTATCCTAGTTTTGATCATATTGAAGATATGATGTTTACACAGATCATGGAAAATCTGATTATTCAAATCCCCTTTTCCATAACATAATAACAACAACAACAACTTCTGTCTCCATCTTCTTCATGATAAACATATATGATACACAATATTGTGTCAAAATAATTAAAATACTTACACACAGTGACAAGTACCAAACAATTCATTCACCAATATTTTTGAAGACTGTGGGTGAGGGGAGCAGAGTACATAAAAGCTTTTTTCCCCCCAGTTATAATGTGCATGTTTCAGCAAAATGTGAAACTAATATCATCTAATAAACTATACGACTGAGATGATTCTGGAAATTCCTGCATCTGTACCACAGACAAAAAAAAGAAAAAAAGAATTCAGCAAGCAACAAATGTTGTTCTTACCGGCCATGCTTGCCTACAAGAGTAGCAAGGTATCCATGTCCATTTGTGTCATGGACAGTCTCTGTCATTTCCTGTTCATGAAATATGGACAGTAGTCCAGGAACTGTCGAAGCAGAGTCAACTAGGAAAAGACAAGAGGGTGAAGCAATGAAAAGATTGTAATAATCTGGCCCCTTTATGCATTCGCTGCATCAGTGGTAAAAGAAATACTCAGATCCTTTACTCAGCAACACCACAAAGTAAAAAATGCACAAGCAAAAGTACATGAATATTATTGAAAAATGTACTTGAGAATTAAGGAAAAATACTCATTATGCAGGATACTATAAATACTTGGGTTTTTTTCATGCCCATTTAGCTTTTTAATATGCAATGTTACAACAAATTTTAGCCATCACATAAATTTCTTGGCATTATAGAGTCTAGAGGGGGAATAAATACAAATACATAAACACCTCAGAACTGTACATAAATACATTACTTGTAATAATATATGTACCGGTATCTCATAATTCCACATTCTTGCCAGATAATTGGGACTGACATCAAAGCTCCTCCGTTAAGAAAACAAGTTACACCGAGGCATAGTTGAAACAAGATAACTGAGACATAATGATAACTGTGCAGCAATCTGTTTTGCAATGATGCTCTCATTTTGTCTTGTGTTATAAACACAGCACAACCTTGTCTTTTACTATGGTAGGCCCGAGCCAAATGACATAGTTAACACCTTTCTATAACATGTTATTCGCCATTGTTATCACTGCACCTTCAGCATTTTACATTGTCTCTTACAAGTTCCTCATTGTCTGTGCTCTCGACAGAACACCATGGTTGAATTTATGTAACGTGATCAGTTGTCACCAACTCAGTAGTTCACCTGTCACCTGCTCGGCCCACCAGCCCCCCCAAACTGTCAACTGCATTACTGTCATCCGCTTGCGCTCTAAGAATCTGTTTCACTAATAATGTTGGATTACAATTTCTTATTTCATGGACTATTTAGGATTTTGGAAGTAATGCATTTATAGAAAAATCAAGCATAACAAACAATACACATAGTCAGTTTATAAAATATATAAATATAATGCATTGTTATAGATTAGTTATAGACTAGCCAGAAGTATATGAAGCAGTTCAAAAAAGAGAAGTCTTTCTATGGCTAATACTCTTCTACTTTTTCATCGATAACACAGACATAATTCAAACCCTAGATTTAGTTCGGGGTTTTTTCATGACATAATTCATCATCTGTGCTTAAAAAATAAACCAAGTAGGTTAATGCTGGTCTAACTGCGGTATAAGAGTTTGGTCACACTTGAACCAGTCTCAGCGTCAGCCCCACTATTCGTCTTTACGGTTGGTAAGACATCAACACATAAAACTACAGAAATGGCCGAAACTGCGCCACATCCTGTGCGACTGTGCAGGCTGGAGTTCTGCCCCAGTGGTATTGAGCTGCTGTCCAAGTTTTAAAAAAAAAATTCACGTCTAACAACACGCGAGCATTCAAATAGCATTCAAATTAAACATTTTACCCAATTTGAGCTTAGACGCCTAATTTGTCAAAATATATATTACATATGTAACGTTATGTCATTATGTTTCACCCACATCATTACAACGCTTCTGTTTTGAAGGGCAGTGACAGACTCGCAGGTTACTGTTAGCATGCTAGCCCGCTAGCTAGCATGCAGCACTGATGCAGTGAGTGTAACCTGAATGCACTGACCGCTCACCGCGCTCATCTCACCTGCCGTAGAGAGGTTGAAGTCGAGAGTGTAATGTCGCAGTGCCATGTCTGAGTGCAACCGTCATCCATGCCTGGAATAGACAGGCTGCGAGTAATATCTGCAGAGACAGTGGGAGGGGGGGTCGGCTACCACCACTGCTGCTACTGCACTGCCCACTATACACTAAACCAGGCGTGGCTACGCAGTGACGAGCGTGGAAGAATAGAGAAACCGTCCTGCGTTGTGTTTGCTGTCTGGCGCACTACGCATACGCAGCATCGTGAAAGCGTGATCCACAACAGAGACTAGTGGAATGAAAATGTATTTCTTATTTTAACAACATTTAACATTTACAAACATGGCGTTTGTGTGGTTTTTAAAATGATACGTTATCTTGAACAGGTTAATTGAATCCAAAACCAGGCAGGAAGATGTAGCCTACAGTAACAACAGGGTGCGGATCACATAGCGCATTGCACCGCCACGCTTCGATGGTGATGTCGGAACAGCATGCCTGTCGGTCCCTTCGTGAAAGTTCTCCCTCGTGCATGAATCAGTAACCCCTAATGTTTTTAGTGGAGTTCGTAGGAGCCAAGCTTCCCTAAAAACGTGATTCGTAAAATTTCTTTATCACCATGTATTATTCGTAAAAGCTGATTATTACAGAGGGTGGTTAATTAAGACAAGACGAGTTTATTTGTATAGCACATTTCAATAACAGGGAAATTCAAAGTGCTTTATGTAAAACATAATCAACATGGGGGAAATATTTTTTAAAAGAGAAAATAAAAACAGAACAGACAGTGAAAGTTACAGTGTATAGTGTAAGATGTTAATCTACAGCATTAAATTATTTAATAAAAGGAAGCGTTAAAAAGAAAAGCCTTCAGTCTTGATTTAAAAGAACTGAGAGTTTCAGCAGACCTGCAGTTTTTTGGGAGTTTATTCCAGATATATGGAGCATAAAAACTGAATGCTGCTTCTCCCTGTTTAGTTTTGACTCTGGGGACAGAAAGCAGACCTGTCCCAGACAACCTGAGAGGCCCTAAGCTATTCAGTGCTTTATAAACCAACAGCTGTATTTTAAAATAAGTTCTCTGACAGACAGGAAGCCACTCTAAAGACCTTAGAAGTGGAGTGATGTGATCCACCTTTTTGGTCTTAGTGAGGACTGGAGCTGCAGCTGTCTGATCAATTTTTCAGGAAACCCTTTAAAGACACCATAATAGTAGTTGAGTCGATAAGATAAATGCATGCACAAGTTTTCCAGGTCCTGCTGAGCCATCAGCTTTTTAATCCTTGATATATTCTTCAGTAGGCTGACTTTGTAATTTTCCTAAAGGGGCTGCTAAAATTAAGGTCTGAGTTTTTAACATTACAGATTAAAGCTGAGCAGTGACTTTTAATCATTCTTCACTGGCCCCCAAAACAATCACTTCAGTTTTATCTTTGTTTAAATTAAGCTAATTCACTTTATAGCTTAAGATACTGGCATGGATGCTTTTCTGTTATCACCGTTGAAGCATGCCATTGAATAGCCATGATTCATTTTGGGATAAAGCACCAGTCGAAACACTGGAAAAACTGAGTAGGCTACAGGAAGCAGAAGAGCAGGTTGGTGGAGGTTGAGTGAAAACATTTCTTCTTTTTGTGGATGTTAATTGCCCGTTTGGCCAGATGTCTGTGCTCAAGAGCCCCTTTGGCAAGTTTGACCCAAACCCCTTATTTACACCCCTCCGTAAAAAAGAAAAAATAAGTGAGTTCCTCAGAAAGCCATGCACACTGCAGCAGAAGAAACGTGACTGAATTTTGTATTTTTTATGTTTTATAAATGTGCAGGAAACATTTCAATTTAAAATGGCCAGTATTTGCCTTATTGTCTCAAGACCAAAATATAGCTAGAGTAGTATTATGAAAATCAGACTTCTTAAAACAGTATAACTGTGCTATAGTCATGTTGAATTAAATTTTGTATGCATGCTAGATGCTTGTCTGTCTGTGTTCTCTCTCTCTATTATTCTTCATTTTTTCATTAACTTTATTGGCATTAATGTTTAGGTAAACAATGTTGCCAAAGCACAAATTCACATATAAACAATAAAAAAAATCATATATACATATAAGTAATAAACAATAAAATGACATTTTAAAAACAATAGAGAGAAAAAACACTAAAATGAACAAAACAAAAAACAAAACATATCTTACACTGAAAATATTACAGTACAGTTATTTAATTTATGTGTTAGTCTAGTCTTATTTTCCACTGGTTTGTGACATGAGGAGATATATTTTGCTGTCTGTCTGATTTAAATTTGAATTTGGGGTATTTTTGGCAAATGTTTTGGAAGTGTTTTATTCTTAAGGTTTTATATTTTGGACATGAGCTTAGAAAGTGTATCTCTGTCTCTATCTGTCTTCTGCCTCACTGGGAGCAGAGTTTCTCCTCTTCTGGTAGCCAGCTTTGTCTGTGGCGACCATTTTCTATGGCCAGGCTGTGTTCACTGTCTGTCTGTTTGTTGTCAACACACTCTCTCTCTCTCTCTCTCTCTCTCTCTCTCTCTCTCTCTCTCTCTCCTGGCAGTGGAGTAATGGGCCGTTCCAGGGGTTTGGTGCCAAGACTCACCTGTCTGTCATCTCTAATCACACACCTGACCTCCACACCCTTCCCCTCCCCGGATTTTTTTTTTTTGAGGAATCTTATTTTTAAAAACCTGCCTGCCTTCCTCACTTGCTGTTCTCTCTGCCTCAGGAAACTATCACCTTTTCACCCACATTGCCTCAGGCATGTGTGAAACTGCAAACATAAGACAATGCTACTATACAAGCGATCCTGATGTATAACTGACACATTTCCTCATGTCATGTTTTATTCATATAAGTCAAATGGGCTCAAATAGAAATAACATAAATTACTTATTATTACTTATAGCTAACATAAAGCACTATAACAGCTGGATATTTGAAAGAAACACAGGACATGCACAAAAGCAGATGATGCTGAGATTCTGCCAAACCCTATAGTTAATTCGTCCACATTCAGAGATTGTGGAACTGTAACTGTGAAAATCTGATGCAGATTGACTGTATTTTAATCCATTTAAGGTTAAAAGATTAGCATAATACTACAACGTAGAAATTGTACACAAGTGTGTCAGGTTGCAAATCTAATAGTCCCTATACAGTGGTATCCATGGCATAGTTCACAACAAAACACATAGGCCTACATAGCATATTAATCATTCTCAGAAATTCTTATGACATAATCACTAATCACTTTATTTTGACAGATAATAAACATACAAGGGCTGAGCTGGGTCAATATGCACAAAATTAGCATAGGTGTTACAGTATATCCTAAAGAAATCCATCCATCCATCCATTGTCAACCGCTTATCCTGTGTACAGGGTCGCAGGGCCTAAAGAAATCACAATACAAAATATTCTTATAATTGAAAGAATTGTCACACCCTTAGCAAGGATTCAGACCAAAAACATCCCCTGCGTTACAATAACACGAGGGGACGTATTGATGTTAGTTAGTTACTGGTGTGTCAGTGAAATATAATCCAGGAGGTCTAGTTGGACCAGTTTAATGCCTATACTGCCCTACTCACTGAGCAACAAACTGCAGACAGACTAAGTTAGTGACTAGCTGGTGAACATAGTTGAGCCTCTATGCAGCATGTGATTAAAAAGTAAATCCACCACAATCAAAAGCATCGAAATCAGAGTCTGCCACTTCAAAGTCAAAGCTGCTGAAGTGAGGGGAGTCGAGTGCGGTGCAGCCAGTGTGGTACCCTCCTGCTGGTCCCATGCCAGAGAAATCCGTGTTGAGTGGCAGGTCAGGAGCTTTGGCTTCCAGATTAGAGAGCGAGCATGCGCCGAGGTAACCCATAGCAGAGGAAGCGGCAGCTCCTCCCATAAGCACATAAACCGCCCTCACTGCTTGGGCATTACTAACACTGCCGTGACGCAGACACCCTGCTGAATGTGCACCTCCTTTACAATACTTAGAACGTGGAGAATTCCTGCCTGTTTGATTCAGGAAAAAAAACAGATATGTTTGTTTGACATGTTGTTATCATAGGTCAAACAAAATCTGATGAACCTGTGCAGCTCACAGAGCAAAACTGTTAAACTGTTTACCCTGAGCACACACCCTACCTTTCTCCCTCGGAGAGGCACAGGTTAAAGGCCCAGGGGAGGGAGCCTCTGTGTCGCTAACTGCTGGAGTTGGTGGCTCTTTGTCCAGGATTTGCTCAGGCACCAGATCTTGGAGAGTAATGCGTGGTGGTGGCACATGATGCCGCTTACAAGAACTGAGAGGTGATGAGAGACTCTGTAGAAAATAGAATAAAAGTACTGTTAAGGAAAAATATGGGTTGGCCAAGAATTACAAGAATGTCATTCAGCGACAAGACTAAGGAATCTACAAATGATAAAGAAAGTGTAAAGAAACAAAAGACAATTTTCTGTTCAGTTTCCCACTACTTTGGTACAAACAGAACTATTTCAATAATTATTGGCTGGATTGCCATTAATTTTCGTTCAGATATCCATGTGTTAATTTTTGGTATGGCCCATTACTAATAGTCGAAAAATGTTTTGTCCAAAAGCTATTTATCCCGAAAAACAAAAGCCCATTGCTGCAAAAATATGCACATGGGAGTTTGCCCTCAGGCCTACTACTACTTTCTACTATAAATCCTTAGTGCCACGTAGTTCACGTTGTGAAACGGTCACAGTTTGGTAAGATTTAGGCACTACCTTGTTAGGAAAATATCATGGTTTGGATTAAAATACTGTGTCATTGGGGGATTTGCCATTGATAGGCTAACTTTCTGCTAAGATTCACTGAACTAACCACTACAGGGAATTTCGGAGCTATGGGTGTTTGTTTTCAAGATAAATGGCTCTCAGACAATTGGGCTTTTGGTCCAGTGGGACATTTTTGGACTATTGGTGTTTGAGAACAATGGTCTGTTGGAACAAAGGCGCGGCCCCTGATAATGTTAGCATTTAGCTTAAAATTAATTAATTAAAGTACAGCTTCACAGAGCCGTTAGCATGTCTGTAGCCTTGATACAGTAAGTCTACACATGTTTCAGAATAATTACCTTAAATAAGCAAACGCCTTATTAACTCACCTTTTTAACTTTTCTCAGCACATTCAGC